CACACACACACACACACACTTCACCCCTACCAAACAGCTTTTGCCTAAGTTTTGTTGTGATATTTGTAAAGCATCCAACTATACTCTAGTTTGCTCTAGATCTATGGTGATGTCAACTATCTTGTTTATTAACATTTATCTGTTGTCTCCCTTGGCACACATGTGGTTTTAATTAATTTAAATATCAATATGTTTATTAATAAAGTTACGTGACACGTCTGCGATCCAGTAATACTCAAAATCCCCTTTTTTGTCTCTATTTCATCACCTTTTTGTCCCTATCTCATCATCTCCTTTCTTTCTCTATTTCGTCTCCCTTTCGTCTCATTTCTGTCTCTATTTCACTTCCTTTTTTCTCTATCTATTTCACCCCTTTTTTGTCCGCATTTCATCTCCTTTTTGTCTCTATTTCATCTCCGTTTTGTCTCTATTTCATCTCCTATTTATTTCACGGACAGTGTCGTGCGAACCAGGCAAAGTCTTCAGTCTGGAGACACTGGACTGCCAGCCGTGTGGCTGGAATCAGACCAGGTCAGCCGGAGACCCCTTCTGCTACGTGTGCCCTTACCAGAACTACTCAGATACACACTGCGACAATTCCAGCGGTGAGAATCTACTTTTTCTCCCTTTGTGTGTGTGTGTGTGTGAGGGGGGGGGGGTTAACAAACTTATTTTAGCTGTAGTACAAACATAGAGTCGGTGTTTTGTCATGTCGAGAAAATAGCAGCGAATCAAAGACCGTACATTTTAATACAAATTTATGAATATTCTTTACCAATGTTGATCTTTCAATTGCCAAACCTTTCCTCTCCAGGCTGCCTGTCTTGTAAAGGTTAGACTTCGCCATAGTTATATAATTGGAGACAAATGAAACATTTCGTGATTGTAGAGCTTGGAGGTTGACTGCTTCGGACTTTTGGAGACTATAGACGTTAAACAGAAACTCTAGCCTCCATGCCTTTTACAATTTGTACATTCATGTATATTATTTTGTGAATTATATTGTACCGAGCTAGCGTACAAGAATTGGTCAAACTACAGGCTCTCACTATTACTACATTGGTTTGTCTGCGTCATCTCATGGGAACAGCATCTCCCATCGAGGTCATCAAAATCCCAAATTCCTGAGATCTATGACTTGATCAATTTGTTTGAAAAATGTTGTAAAAATACTAATAGAAATAATAATAGTGATATTCATAATGATATCAATAATACTGATATTGATAATAGTAATAAAAATAA